GGAAATGGCTATGGGATTTCCTTTTTCTTTTTTCTTTGTAGTACTGGGGATTGAACCAGGGGTGCTCTACCACTAAGCTATATCCCTGGCCTTTTAAATTTTTTATTTTGAGACAAAGACTTGGTAAGTTGCCTAGGCTGGCCTCAAGCTTGAGATTCTCCTGCCTCACCCAGCCTCTCTAGTAGCTGGGATTACAGGTGTGCATCTCTGTGCTTGGTGGATGAGGTTCCTTCTGCTAGGACATTAGTGAGGGGGTTTCTATTAATTTAGTTAGGATTTGGGTTAGCTTGGTTTGCTGTTTCTATGGTTAACCTCTGTGCCTCACAGGCTTTAAGTCCCTCTAATAATTCCTTATGTTTAGGTTAAGATACTGGTTTGCCAGAGAATTTATTTCCCCTTTGGCTCAGGGTCTACTCGGTCCCCAGTTTAGGTTCCCCCTCTGTGCCATGTCTCAGAGAGGGTCTCTTTCCATACTCTGGTGCCCCCTTTTTTTTATCCTTGTCCTATAGAATTCTGCCCCTTGTGTTGCTTTGCTCTTTAGCTGGCTGGGGAGGGGTGGGAGAATTCTCTGTTGTCCTATCTCTACTGAACCTGTCCTCAGCCTTAGGTATGTGTATCCCTGAACACCAGGACTGTGCTCTTCAGTGCTCTGCCCCTTCTCAGTGGTAGTTCTGGGCTCATTACATATTCGTGCTCCACTCCCAGCAGCGGTTATTTTTCCCCCTTTCTTCCCTCATTCAGCTGAGTGAGTTTTCACCATGTCTAAGGACAGCTAGTTGCCTTTTTTTTTTTTGCAGATGAAGGCATGAAGGCTTCTGCTCCTTAGGGAGACAAGGTAGCAGAGTCTGGGTGGAGCAGGCAGGTATCTGCGTTCCCTTCTCAGTACCTGCTGCACTCTCCCCTGGGTCTGCCACAAGGGATACTTGCTTAAATCTTTCTCCATTCTCTTCTATGGAAATATTCCCGGTGAGGTTTGTAGAGAAAGATTCTGAAGAGGACGTGGAGACTCTCATAATTTCTGCAGCCTCTGAGACAGAGGTCAGCCTCCTGACCAGGCACACTTAGCCTTTGTAAAAACGCCAGCTACCCTAGCTAAGTTCCTCTTATTGGAGTCTGGTTTCGCCTACCCAGGCAAGTTACAGCTCACTACCTGTCTGTCTGTAAGTCTGTCAGTCCTTGGGTTGGGCCAGTTGGTTACTTCTGTTACTTCAGAAAGTTCAAGGAAAACACATGAATTTGCCTTTTGTCTGGTTTATTCTCATGGTAAAGTTTGGAATGATGCTCATGTTGGCTCTCATGTGCCCAAACAAAAAACAAAAGCCAAATATTTTCATTTGAACAATTTGAGTTGAATTCTACTTCCTGCCAGGAGCATGGATATTTCAGGAGCTGGGATCTAAATCTAGCATTCTCCTTACCACAGCAGAGTTTTCTGTTCCCTCTTTATCTCCTTTCTCTCCTACATTCACATTTTGCTTATAAAATATTTGCTGAGAACTGCAAGGTAGCAAGCGCTAAGCTCCACACAGAGAAAAATGAGTAGTTAATGTCAGCCTCAGTGTCACAGTTGTCACAGGGAACCAGGGGAGGCCAGAGCCACTTTACCTTAGGAAACTTTGGGAAGCTGCATGCTCACGCCCACCCAGCAAGTCAGTTTGGGATCCAGCTATTGGGCCATCTTCTTGGCCACAAAATGCTGTGTAACCAGGAGCCACCTCTCAAAGCAATGATGCTGCTCCCTGGGGGTGAAGCCTACACTGACGGCTCCTCGGAGATTTGGAGATTTTCACCCACAGACCTGTGGCCCAAGGGAAGAAAAGTAATCTTCATTCCATAACTATGAACTCTTTAAGTCAAGGTGCTCTGAAGTGTGTGATGTTTATGTTAGATGTTTAATTTAATCTGTTAAGTGGATTGATAAAGTCAACTAAAAGCTTGTTTTAGTAATAGCCCATGTCACTGGCAGGCCTAGGCTGATTTTTTTAAAATATTAGAACATTTGGAATTGAATCCACTAAGCTGTCTTATGGAGCAAAAGGGGAAAAAATTCACTAAAAGCAAATTGTTCACTGGCAAAACCTGTAGAGGTTCTTGGTAAGAAATATCATCATGATAAATAACATCATGCCCTTATCTCTAAGGAGCCTCACAGTTTGCAAAGTAGTTTTATTTTCAGTATTAATTTAGTCTTTTGATCATCAGAATAGCCCAGAAATGGGGTAGGGTAGGGATTATTTCTGTCTGGTTGAGACTTGGGTCTGGAAGACAGCTAGCTTGCCCTAAGTCACACAGCTAAATAGCCCATAGTCCAGTGAAAATGGGTATCTGGCATCCTTGCTTTGTTCCCATCTAAATGTACCACTTTGCTTTTGCCCACCCTGCATGCCATCTTCCAGCCCATCTTGGATATCCCAGGGACCTGGCCTCTTTTGTACTTCATACCTTGATCTCTCATACTTGACACTTGAGCTCTGATTTCTACCTCTGTTAAAACTTTTGTTTGTTTCTTTGATTAGCTCACTTCCAAATTGCTCCTGGGTAATACCTTTCATGTCCAAATAACAGTTCTGTAATCACTAGTACTGCCACAGTATTACTTGAGATAATAGCAGCAGCAGCAGCAGCAGCAGCAGCAGCAGCAGCAGCAGCAGCAGCAACTATTGAGCTTTCGATGTTCCATCTCATTGAAAATTTGAACGTCACACTATCCCAGAATAGAAACTGTTTTAATCTCTATCAAACAGATGAATCAGGAAGAATACAGGTGAATCTAGCCAATGCAGCTGGAGGAACACAAACTTGTATTCTGGCTCTGCTCTATACCCACTGTGTGATTTTAAGCTTGTTAGCCAGTTTCTCTGTGCTTAGTGTATGCACAGATAAAAAGATGTGGATGATAATCCCTATCTGAGTTAATGACTGACTGTAAGACCCTTGCTAATTTATCTGCGTATCAAGCTAAGGGCTTGACATCTTGTAGGTGTTGTGGCTATTAAATGGGAAAGAGCCTAGCATACAGTAGTTTCCCCCCCAAATGAGTTTCTCCTTCTATTTTCAGATCTTTATCTTCCACTTCTGCTTTGTGTCAAAAAGGACTGTGATAAAACAACAAGGACTGTGTACTGTGATTAAATGGATTCTTTGGAATTTCAAATGCTGTTTCATAAAAAGCAATTATAATAACTTTTCTTTCTTCATAAAACATCAACTATGGCTGCATATTTTATGCAGGAAAGAGAGGGAGGGATCCTTTCTGGCAGAGGTACAGAAAAGTGTTTTAGGTTTTAGGAGTGGAGGAGAGTAATGGTGGCAGTGATGTGTAAGCATTCAGTTTGGATCTAAGCAAGTGACCTTGGGAACTAATTGAGTACACAGATTTGCCCTGACAAAGAAACCCCTGTATTGGCTAAATAATGTATAAGAGATTTCCATTCCATTGGGTAATGGGGAAAATTGAATTATTTAGCGTATTTCCATTTCAATGAGTTAATCAAGATAATTGCTGTTTTCCTGGATCTTTGTCTTTTCTTTGCAATTAACAAGGCCCTTGTTTGGAGAAAGGAATTTAACCAGTGAACTCTGTACAAAATGCTGTGACATTTTTGGGTGCAAATTATGTTTGAAAATCAATTATAGATACTTTTCCTTTAGACTCTATGAGAAATTGATGCTTGATCCAGTTTCAGAAAAATGTAGGGTCCAAGGATTCAAGTTTATTTGAGCTTAACAAACTTGGCTGGGAGGTAGGGGAGGGCAGAACTGAAAGAGCAGAGCTCTGGCCTCAGATGTGGAGAGTGGTCCCCTGTTCTGCCATGTTCTATAGAACAGTAGGCAAATGAGCCTCTGTGGGCCTCAGTTTCTATTTCTGTAAAACATATCTCCTGCTGTCCTGAGCTGTTGTGAGAATGAGTGCAGCAACAAGACCAGCTTCTTTGCCATCTCCTGCATACTTATCCTTCAGTAATGTACTCAGCAGTCTTCGTCGTCTAGAACATGGCCAGGATCTCAAAAAGAAGCTTAAAAAGATCTAAGTAGCAAAAGAGATGTTACAAAGTCCACTCATTAAAGTGTCTCATAGGGAAACACTTCAGATTTTCTATGTATTTAATTCTGGTTACAATTGTAATAAGCTAAACTTGAGCTTCTCTGACCATACCACTTAAGCAGCCCTATGCTGATGAAGAAGGAAGTAGCTACTTGAGGTTTGCACTCTGACTGAAAACAGTGACACCACAGCACCACACAGAGAGAAAAGGCAGTGAAACTATACCTGGTAGATATAAGAGCTAATAAAAGAATAGTTTAAAATCACATCAGGAAGGACCCAAGGGCTTTGTGTCCTTGTCTCCCCACTTCTGGAAGCTCATCACCATAATACAACATACTATGCAATTGTTGTTGTTCCGTATTAATGTTCCTGACTCATAAAAAGAAAGATTATACAGTATATGTCTGTAACATGTGTTTGAGAAGGGGGACTTATAATTTATTTCATAAGAAGTTCATCCAAAATGGTTAAAATAAAAAATAAATTTTTGGAATTGAAGATGTGAACTTTGATTATGTAGAAAATTCATCCATATGGATGTTCTTTCTCGTATTGCCATGTTTCTGGACAGTGGTCATATGAAGGTGGTAGGAATTTATCAAGTACTTTTCATCTACATCATCTCCCTGTGGAATTCTGGGCAGGAGTATATTGTATCCATTTAACAGATATGGAAACTGAGACCTAGAGAGATTAAGTCTGCGACAGAGCTGAGATTGAAGCCCAACTCCTCTGATTCCTAAGCTCGTACCTTCTGCATGATATCATTTCATTCTTAGGAGGAATCATTTGGAATAGGAACATGCAGAACATATTATAGGTAATGTTTCACACGTCAAATCCTGAATAAAAATGAAATAAATACAGGAATTTATACATCATCAATTCATCTCAATTCCTTCAATGTATATAAGAAAACACAACCGTCGAATGGTCTCATCTTGATACTTACTCATAAAATGTTGTCCATCCATTTTCATTGCTTTTGGTTGCCAGCAGGCCAGAATTGCCATGATAGGTCATGATGGCCAACTCATGTCCTTGTGTGGTCACACTTCTGAGTGCACTGTTGGTGCCCATGGTCACCCAGTATATCTGGCCATCAGGGACAACCAGCCAGAGGGGCATCCCTGTGGAATCTCGGCGGACATTCACCATGTTGCCATTGTTGTCTGTGATGAGTGTGACATCACCGTCCCCGGTATAAGTGAAGTTGTACAGGTAGTCTCCTGTGGGCAGGCTTTGGGTGTACAGATGCTTGCCACTGGTATCGAATAGGTACAGCTCCTGGTCGATGGGTGAAGACAGCTCATACATGTTCTGGGTGTTCAGGAAAGGCTTGTTCTTCCGGATAAACCGAATTCGGATGTTCCCAAGGTCAGCCACGTAGAGGTCCCCATCAGCACACACAGCCAGTGAAGAGGGAGTATTCAGCTTTGCATCCTTGGCATAACCATCATCTCCAGAGAAACAATCACAGTTGGCATCATTTTTACAGTCACAGCCACTGGGGGCCCCAGCAACCAGCGAGATCTCTCCACTAGTGGTGACCTGCCTAATGCGGTTGATCTTCTTCTCATCCGTCTCAGCAATATATAGGACGCCGTTGTGTGAAACAGCCAAAGCAGTGGCCGACTCCAGGGTTGCATGGATGGCCACCTTGCTCAGCAGGAAGTGGTCGATGCCAGGGACCTGGCAGTGCATGGGCCTTCCTGCGACAATGCGCACCTGATGGTTCTCAGAGATTTGCAGGACCACGTTGTTGTCGAGGACATAAAGAGAGTTGTCCATTGGGTTGATGGCTAAGTCTGTGGGCCACTCCAAGCGAACCTGACAATGGAGACACCAACGCTCAAATGACAGGCAAGATGCCCATGCTGTCCCATACCCACTAAAACCTGCAATAGGCTCCAAAAGGCTTTCACATAAAGTCTTGCCTAATCCTCACACAGCCTAGCATCAAAAATGGAGTGTTGTGTTCTTAATCTGAGGGAAACTATACAATAGCTGCCACCACCAAGATATCTGATGGTCTCTACAGCCTGACAAAACCTGAAGAAATGGATAACAGCAAGAAGACCGAGTAGGCAAGAGGAGAAGACATTAGAGTCAGACAGGCCTGGGTTCTGATCCTAGCTCCACCACTTATGCCATTGGGGAAGTTACTTTACCTCTCTGAGCCTCAGTATTTGCATCTGGAAAGCAGTAATGGTAATCACACAGGGAACCTAGTCCACAGTCCATGCTCAAAGCATGGCAGCTATTGTGGAGGTGGGAGGGGAAGGCAGACAGAGTCTGGAGGATGCAGTAGGAGCTATCCAGAGATTAAAAAAGACTCTTCATGAATGCCCGATATAATACACTTATGAAAGATGATTTCCCAAATCTTCATGAAGTAACATGGCTAGGTACTTTACTGGAGATGTAAAAACAAAATAACCATGGCCTCTGTCTGAGTAATGATTCTCAAAACTGTCCCTGCATTCAAATTATCTGTAGACATTTGAGAAAAGGTTGGTGCACAAATTCTACCCTGGGTCAGTTAAATGAGATCCCTGGGTGGGGCTTGGGCTTTGGCATTATTTCAAAAGCTTTGGGGTGATTCTTAAGGAGAGTTAGGAATCACAACTGGATCCTTGGCCCTTAAACAGTGAGAATCAGAAGTAGAAAGAACAGCTTTGGAATCATTTGGAGGCTGTTCAGAAATGCAGAGTGGCAGACTCATCCCAACCCTACCAAATCTGGATCTGCTCTTAAGGAAATTTCCTGTGTGATTTCTGTGCACATTGAAGTTTAAGAAGCCTTGCTCTACATAGTGATTTGTAGGATCTTAGAGAGCAGGTCCTCCTGGAAGGGATGAATGAAGTTGGCAATGGGATTCAGGGGTTATGAGGTCTGGGCCCAAATAGCCTCTTCTGAACCAGGCTAGGAAGTGGCTTGGGTCAGGGTAAGCCTTCAAGTGGGCACCTAGGGGATTGCACCTAACAGAGTCTGGGGCAAGGAATGTTTTGCTCAATGGACATGGAGGCTGGATTGTTAGATGTATCACACCGAGAGATGCTGAGTACTAAAGGAAGCCTTTGTCAGTTGTGTCCCCAAGTTCATCCATACTACTAGTGCATTCCTCCTGCTGAATTTTTCAGACCTGTCTAAAGACTCATCACCTTGGGGATCCTGAGCCCCCTAAAAACCTTTGATAGTTTCCAATTTGGAGTTTTTCTTACAGGAATTTGCTTTTATACACCATTATCTATGAGTGTATTCATCAGAGCCATTTTTTTTTTTTTTTTCAACCCAGGGATTGAACTCGGGTCCTTGCACTTGCAAAGCAGGCGGTGAAATCAGTGAGCTAAATCCCCGGCCCAATCAGAGCCATTTTTAACAATGATAAAAAGCTGGGACCAACTCAAATGCCCCAAACTGAGAATTGGGTAAATAAACTATAGCACACTGGATTCACTCATAGATTTTAATGCTATGTGCCATCCTTAAAGGTGACGTTCAGACATGGGGAATGTCCCCAATGACACGGGGAAATGTTTACTGTGTGTTAAGTAGAAAAAACAGGTTTTAGAACTGGAAGCACAGGCTGATGCCAATTAAGGGAAAAACAACAATAAGGTAGATTATGGGTAGAGAGGAGATTAAAAACTTGAGGGAGATATACCAAAATGTTAACCATGCTAGAATCAAAGTGATTTTAATATTCTCCGTTACGATTTTAAATTTTAGAACTTTTCTATAGTGTACATGTGGTCATTTACCAATGTAATAAGAAGCTCAATAAATTACATACGTAGGGGATGAGACCATTTCCATCCATTCCTTTAGCTCAGGGCCATTCTTAGTTCTTCAGAGAAGCCAGTTCTCAGCATGCTAAAGCCCTTGTCTCCTCATCCCCCATTCCCCATTCCCATCTGTCTGTCTGTCTGTCTGCACGCACAGGGGAAAGGAGCTGCAGATACTCTGGAGCTGCTGCCTGGGCTGCTACTCACACTTCCCAGGTGTCTCTGGAGTACAGTCATGCCAGCTTTCAGCTGCATCAAGAACACAGTTTGCTCTAAAGTGACAGAAGTTTTCAATTTCCTAAAACTCATTTCTTGTCGACACTGGCTACTAAATATTTTATGCCCTCTGGTCCTGTGGCATCTTGGGGACCCACTTGGAGAGACCTTTCTACCTGTCATTATGATGAAAAGATGGAGTCTTGATGAATGGGTGGATGGGGAGGAGAGGAGGAAGCCAGCAGAGGAAGAGGGGCGAGGAAAGCAGAAGAAATGAACAGCAAGTGCTTCTGATGCTCTTGGCTTGTGCCAGTGTGCACAGAGGTGCCTGGGAGAAGAGAAGGGCACTGCTCTCAGAGTTGCTCCTTGCTCCTTCATACAGCCTGCATGATGCTTCTGGACCACAGCAATGCTAAGCTTCTCTTGCTTCACCTTCAATTAGTGGTAATCCTGCTTGGCTTAATTTCCCATCACCAAAATGGAGGGACAAGGCCTCCTGCAACTCCCAGGTTCAAGGGTTCTAGTAGGAGGGGAGCTCCCTTCTCTTTGTCCTCCCCAGCATTCATGCCTTCATTAGGGTGCTCTGAGCTGATGGCCTTGTTGCAGAGTGATGTGCTTGCATATGCACTGTCGGATGAATGAATGAATGAATGCACCATCAGACAGTGTGGGATGGAGGTTGGGAAACTTGCTTCCCGTAGCAGTTCCACAGTCACTAGAAGTGTCCCCTTATTCAAGTTTATTAAATAATGAATTTCTTTCCCTATATGTAGAAGGGGAGTGACAAATACTACATAGGGTAGTTGGAAAGATCAAATAAAATAATGTATAAGGAAGCTCTTCATAGATTTTAAAAGGAACTAATATTTATATCCTATTACTAGTTGCCAGTTACTATTCTGGGCAATTATGTACATTAAAAAATTCATTTCCACATCCCTGATGGAACCTACCACAAGTCTTTGCTTTTATAAGTGCATTTTCTTTTACTAAGCCTCAGTTTATTATTTCTAATATCTACCCCATGGGATTATTGTGACAGCTAAATAAGATAATAGAAGTCACACTCATCTCTGTATTCTCATTTTTAATGGAGTGCCTGGCATATGGCAAGTTCTTGTTTTGGCTGCTAAGTACAGAGTTATGCTCTGCCTGTGTGGCTGGAATTGCTGAGTTTTTAAGAAACAGGTTACAGCATCTTCTGTTCCTTTCCTATTGATGCCTCCCTCATTCTCATTTTGGACCTGATCTTTGTCTCCTGGAGCTGGCCCAAATTCCTTGGTTCTCCCCTTTGCGTTCTTTCCTCCTGGCTGGGTTCTCACTGTGGCTTCCCTCCCTGGTCCCCATGGAACAGTAAAGTAGCTGAGCGTTGGTAAAAGAGGAATGAAAGATGAAAGCCAGAGGAAAGCCAGTGCCTTCTCCCATATATATACACATATATATGTATACACACACACACACACACACACACACACACACACCTTGGTTCATGAACTCAATTCTTTCCACGATTCTGGTCACAAACCAAATTGAGTGAAAACTGAATCAAATTTCCCCATAAGGTCAATGTTGAACCTAACCATTGAATTGCCTGATTTGGAGGGTTTGGTTAAAAAAAAGTTCATGCTTAGATTCAAGTGAAGGTAGTAAGGACCAGGGGTATAGAGATTTCAGAATGGGGCTTTGGAATCTAAGAGTGGTTTTTGTTTTCCTCCCCTCCCATATATACCAATTGTCTTCCAAGCCTTTTATCTAACTGCTTGGGTGTGCATGAAAATCTTCACCACCCTGTGTTGGCTGGCTGAGAAATGATGGCTGTGGCAGCTTCGTAGAGAGTAACTCCAGCTTGCTCACAGACTGAAGCGGGAGACTCTGGACCCAGAAAGGGAAGCCTGGCAAACGGCAAAGATGAGTGGCAGAGAACAGACTCCACTCTGGAGCACAGTGGCCACGTAGCGGGCGCACAGGGAAGCCACACCAGCACCCGACAGGGACGTGACTTGGGTGCTGTCACATGGGTGCCAACAGCAGCCATGAGGCTCTGGGGAAGGGGCTCAGCGATATGGGTCAGAAACAGAGGCAGGCATGGTGCAAGAGGGTGTGAAAAAGGCAGCAGCTGGCCTCCTTATCTCCTAGGTTCTGGTAGTGTAGGCAAGATGATGCTCACTAATTCACCACAGGCCAGGCCCTGCCTGAGGACTTAGCAATAAAGGACACAGTCCTGGCTCACTCACTGTAGGATGGACTAAGGCCGTGCTGGATAGCCAGCCACTTGTGTCTCTTTTGGAGCTGTCCTTGCCTACCAGCCAACATCCAAACCCTCTGGCATGGTGCTTCAAGGTCCATGCTTCTTGCTTCAACACCTGCCATCTCCTTCAAGCACCCTATGCTTTGGCATTCAATTTGCCAATGTTCTTTGAAAGTACCAGGTTCTTTAGCATCTTTGTGCCTTTGAGCAGATCATACCCTTTGTGGGAAATGTCTTCTTGTCTTTTCTGCCACCCACTGAACTCCTATTCAAACTTCAAAACCTGGCATGAATGTCATCTCCCTTGTGAAAATGAGCACAAGAACTTCCGCTTGTTCATTTCTGGTGCTGAGTGGTGTGAGAAACTGTCCATGTACTATTGCATGTGTTTTCAAGGTAATCTTATCAGGCTGATGTGAATCACTTCTATTTTACATACATGAAAACTGAAGCTCAAAAGACTTCACAAATCTGAGCTGGTAAGTGGCAAAGCTAGGAGTCAATCACTCCTCACTCACTCATCAGCAAATACGGGCTTTAATCCTGCTGCACACCAGGCAACCTGGTTACAGTTAAGGATAAAAGATGGAATTCCTCTTGCCATGTAGTTTAGGGTCTAGAGAGAGAATAGGCAATGTACAAGGACCTGTGTGTGTTATCAAAAGGGAAGTCCAGGTGGCTATGGGTTTAAATTCACATTGTGTAAAGCTTTGTCAATCATGCTCTGCTAGCCTTGGGCAGATTTTCTTCACTGGCCCCTGAGCCCCGACTAGGGCCACACACTTGTTAGCTCTCACAGTGGACTCCCAGGGACAGTGTGTGTGTGGGCAGAGTCTTCTTTGTCTTTATGCCCTTGGTGCTTATCCCAGGCCCTGAACCAAGCAGGCACCCTTTAAAGGCTTCTCCAGTGTACAGGTAAATGGCTAACAGACTGTCGGGGTGGCAGAAGAGAGGATGAGTGCACAGAGCCAGGGCTCTAGCAGACAAAGTCCTCTCACCTGAGAAATATCCATGACAGAATCGCAGCTGAGGGGCCGGGCCGACGTGAGATCATTAGAGCCCAGCAGGGTAGAGATGATCCCGTTCTGATCAACTCGTCTGATCATGGTGCCATCCACGAAGTAAATCAGCCCGAACTTGTCCACTGTAATGCCTGGGATGTAGAAGCCAACACAGGAATTCAGCATTAGAGATGACAAGGACCCACAAAAGACCTGGAGCCCTGTGACCTGATAAAGACCCCCTTCAGTATGATCTGATCAGATCCTCCCACGACACCCCTCTCCCCCTGTGGTGCTGGGGCTGGAACTCAGGACCTTGCGCATGTTAGGCAAGAGCTCTCCCTGGGAGCTGCACTCCCAGCCAGCCCATCAGCCTCCTTTTAAAGATGGGGAGATGGAGGCTTGATCTGAGTGCCTTGCTCAAAGCAGAGATTGGAATTCATGTTCTCAGATCCTCCTAAGCTCTGGTCCTCCCACTTTGCTGTGCCCAGAGGCTTTTATCTGTTGCCTCATCCACCTACAAAAACTGGATTCATAATTTATTGAGGGTTTGTGAAGCAGCAGAAGTAGTGATTATCACTGTGAACTTTTAGCCTATTTCTTAAGCCCTGCAAATCTAAAAATCACATCCCTTTTTTGACAACAATTTTTTTTTTGTTTCTAAGACAATCAAGTTTCTCTTATCTTTATTATCTTAATTTCACTGGACATTATAAAAGTATAGTCTAAAAAGAATCCTATGGATTTGTATAGAGAATATTGTTGAATCTAATGTCCAGGGAAGGCTCACAAGAGAGGTGTCGGGATTATTACCGAGGGTCATCTCTTCCACATGCTAGACGGTCTCACCCTGTGCAGTTTCTTCCTGACCCAGCTTGTGTGATTGTGGGCAAGTCACTGGTCAACTCTGCATTTGCTTTTCCAGCTGACAAATCAAGGGATTGTTCTAAGTCTGTATTTCTCTCTCAGGACATGTGTGAGGATGCCCTGCAGCATGTGCACCCCAGGTGGCTGCTTCAGAAGATCCCTAGTGGAGCTGGAGTATCTGTCTGCATTTCTGACAAGCACTTTGGGTGATCATGATATGAACTAAAGCCTGAGAACTACTCCATGAAATCATTACTTCCTGGTCGATGATGTGTACTGGAATCACATGGAGATGGAGAGTTTTTTCAGCACACACTTGCTTGGTCTCTTTCCTGGGAATCCTTTATTTAGTGGCTGGCTGGGACTGAGACTAAGGCATGTTTTCAAACTGACATTCATGGGTGATGATGACTGCCACCCCAGGTCCAGAATTACAAGAGCTAGATCAAATGCGACCTCTCAGGGGTGACAGTGAGATGTAGCCCTGAAGAGGGTCTGCTCTAGATGGGAAGGCACATGGCCAAGGGAGGACCATGTGGAGTACCACAAGAAATGACAGACCCCAGAGGGTGGTGAGATAAAGCAGAACCTGGTCACTTTTGCTGTTTCTTTTCCTCTTGGGCAGGCAATGGAAGAGGAGATCAAACAAGCTCATTGAGGTATAGACGCTTGCACTATGAAGCTATGAAGCTCCCTAGTAGTGTTACCTTGGACAAGCTACTTCACTTCCTCCTCCTCCTTTTTTTTTTTTTGGTACCCAAGGCCTTCACACTGAGCTACATCCCCAGACTTTATTGTTTTCTTTTTGAGACAGGGTCTCACTAAATTGCCCTGGCACAACTCTAACTTGCAATCCTCCTGTCTCAGCCTCCCAGGGTGCTAGGGTTATGAGCGTGTGCCTGTGTGCCCAGCTAAACTACTTCACTTCTCAGTCTCAGTTATAAAATGATACAATAAGCACAAGGTCCTGAGTTCAATCCCCGGTACCAAACAAACCAACAAACTAATAAAATAATAGGATAACATCTGACTGGAATAATTAGTCTTTGATCATCATTAATGACCATTAGGATTATGAGGACATGGCCGACAACTTGTGGGTATAGAGGCCCTTGTTCTTGGGGGCCCATGTATCTTTCTCTGGCCACTGGGAGATTAAGTAATGTCCCTCTGAAGCATAGTTGCCTCTTATTGCCTCTCCTTAGGCTGGGCAGCTGGAGAGGATTTCACACTGAGGACCAGGCGGCCTCAAGCTGGGAGCCTTTCTTGTGGTCCTGACTCGAATGTAAATTGATTTCATTCTTTTAAGTACCAAGACATGAGTTTTCTTGTTTGCCTGGCTATGCCCTGTCTCTCTCTTCCATCTGCTCGGACTGATGAGCGCTCCATGAACAATTAGGTTTCTTGTTTACAAAGGTGGCTGCACAGGCTAATAGAAGTGATCTGTCCCCTGATTAATTACTTCATTTTTTCTCCTTTTGTTGTGCTAAATAGATGGACATCTTTTCTCCTCCCCACTGCAAAGTGTCTGCATATTGTGGCACCCTTGCCATTTCTCCCTGGGTTAATTACAGGCTTGTGGGATATTGTACTGCCACTCCATCTGTGTGTGTGTAGGGGTGGGGGCAGGGAACACACATGCTTGGAGAGCAACTGAGAAGCATCTAGGGAGAACAAAAATTCTCTTAAAAAACTCTTAATTCTAAGAGGTAGAATGTTATAGCTGAAAGGGGCCTCAGGGATTGTTTAGCCTAACCTGCTCACTTACTAATGGAGAAATTGAGGCCCCAGAAGAGGAGGTCCCAGAGCCAGCCAGTAGTAGAGAGAAAGCATAAAGCAAGGTCTCTAAATGCCAGCCCAGTACTCTCTCCATGCTTCAGACTGCTCTCTCAGTATTATAAAATCATCACTAGGAGGGACACTAACTATGCCACAATGTTTACTCCATAGTTACACCTGACTAATCCAGATATGTGGAAGAGACAATGTGCTATGATGATATGATACACAGTATAATATAACACAATACAACAAAATAATAGGAGTCACCATTTATGTGATGTTTACTATGTGCCTAATACTACTGAACTATGCCTTTATATGCTTTATGATATTTACTCTGTATAATTACTGTGCAGTATATTCCTATTACATAGGTGAGGAAAATGAAGCCCAGAGAGGTTAAGTAACTTGCTCAAAGTCATACAACCACTAGATAACAAAGCGTGGATTTGAATGGATAATTAAACAACAGTTAACTGCTTTGATTTGAAATCAGGCCTTAAAATCTGGCACTCTAATATAATTACCTATAACATTTTAACAGGATATCATATGAAATGTATTAATCTTGGTCCTCAAAACAATCCTAGAAGGTGAACATGGGGTATTATTAGCCCTGTTGTATTTAGAAGGACCCTGATGCTTAGGCACTGCAGGTCACTGGCCGTGGGGCTTGCACCACACTTGATGCCTCACTGAGGGGTGCCTGCTGGTAAGGATGGCTTCTCATCTCACAAGCTTCAGCATCTCCAAGGTGCCCGGGTCTCTCTCACCTCTACACCCTCATACACAGCTCTTTCTTCTTGCATCCAGAGTGATTCATGTCTAAATCTCAGTTATCCTGCTACAGTGAACTTATCTATGCAACCACAGAGCTCTGTGCATTCAGTCAATATTTGTTGAGTAGATGAATGAAAAATACTGAATGAAGGCATTTAGAGGTTCAACTTTCTGAAGGACTCAAAATTGACAGTCAACCCACTGTACAGCACACAAATATAATGATACATCATAAAATGATACATGATAATAAAATTATACATGATATATCACAAAATCATGCACAACAATGTTTTTGTACAACAACATGAGAAATAGCATTCATGTCCAACAGTTAGACCTGATGAATGATGGGATATCCACTGGAAGGAACATTACATAGCCACTAAAAATGAGAAGACTATTAAAAACAGAAGACTAAGGACATGGAAAAGAATTCATGATATATCACTTAGGGAAAAAAGCAAGTTACTCAGTTTGTTTAATGTGATCTCATTTAGTTTCCTTGACTTTAGTGAACATTGCATACATGCAAACATTTAGAAAAAAGACTAGGAGGAAAGACAGGAAACGTTAACTGGGAATATTTCTAGTGAGTAACATTATCACAATTGTAAATACTCCAAAACTGTTACTGATAGTGTTTAGCAAGCAAGGGCTTACCCCTGGGGTTGGTAAGTGTGGCTTCTGTGGCCTTCCCACCATCTCCGCAGCGAGTGTCATCAAAGGGGAGGCACTGGTCACCAGTCCCTGCCAGCACCTCGGAGTTCTTGACAAGGTCCTTCACCACCATGGTGGACTTGATCTTAAAAACCCGCCGGCTGTTGGTGTCAGAAAGGAAGACGGCCCCACTCATGGGGTCTGTGGTCAGGTAGTACTTATGTGCTGGACTGTGACTAGAAAACAAAGACATGGCCCGTGTGAGCACTTTCTTCTCTCCTATCAGGTAGGTAGAGATGTATAACTTGGATTCCTGGTCTTTGAGTCCAAGCAAAGGAGTCTTACAGGGATGATATTTCTACTTTGGGTGATGGCTCCCCAATTTTTCTGACCTCAGTGCATGGACTAACTATCCTTCCCACCTAAGTGCTAATGCAAAAACCTCTTGCTGATGACTGCCTAGATCATGTTTTCTTAGAACGATTATCAGTGAGGCTTGCAATAGTCAGCCTGTCAATTCAAGGCAGAAATATGGATGCCCTTGACTTTTAAAAACAATCCAAAGATTACAAGACATAAACCTTTCTCCACAGCAGTTTTATAGCAACGTGGGACTGACAGATAAGATAATAGTAGGTCTGATTTTCTCTATATCCTCATTCATCTTTTTTTTTTTTTTTTTTAACTTCTGCTGCTACCATTTCAGAAACTTCAGGTGGGTGGGTGGCTTCTGATTTTCTCTATCTTGTGCTCCCCTGGACTTGTCCTGGGTGGGCTGTAGGTCTGGGGTTGCATTTTGCTTCTGTGTTTTGTCATTTTTCTACTTTTTAATTTTAATTTGTTTTCTGTGTTGATTCTTATAAATTGCTTATGGTAGTAGTTTTATCACTAGTATCAAGGCTTCCCTAGGAAATGTCTATTCCTCAGAGATGTCTTCTAGGTGCAGTTGCCTCTTGGCCTTTGTGCCTGTCCCAAGATCCTACCTTCCCAATTTATTAGGGATGAGAAGTTGCTATCTATTTTGCTCAACACTCAGTCCTTTGGTACTGGACTATGGTGATGGTTATGACCCCAGACAATCATAGTGTTGTCACACAAGGTAGAACAACTGACTACAATAGGAATGACTAAAGTAGTACAATTAGCAATAACAATAGCATAAAGCATAACCTAGAAGCTGACAAACTGGTAACCATTAATTTGGTACCTTTAATCAAATAGGAGCAAGACTTACAGTCATATAACAAAATCCAACATAAACCAGGAACTTGTATGAGGTGACTTTCCCCTTAGTAGAATGCTTTTACCCTGGGTAGGGGGATTTAAGAGGGTTAGGGGAAAATAGAGAGATCAATGAAGAGGAATATGGTAGAAGCAGGCTGAAGGGCAAAAGATGATCACCAAGCTTTGGGAAACTGGAGAAGAGGACAGGAGAGAAAGAATGAAGGAGAAAGCAAAAGAATATTGAAGCAAATCAGAAAGACTGGCACCTTGAGACTATACTCTTGAGTGAAATAAATTGGACACACATGCAAATATTGCATTGTTTCTCCAGTGTTAGAAACTGAAAGTGCAAGAAAAGACCAAAACGTGTAATAGATATTGTGAAATAGGAAGAAAATGTTCAAATGGGAAGGGGAACTGGGATGGGGGGAGGGAGGGAAGAAAGGAAGGAAAAAAATGAGAAAAGAAGGAAAAAATGGAAACAAAGCTTTTGTACATAAGGAGAGGAAGAGGGGTTGAAGGGAGGGGAATGGGAAAAGAAAGCAGAATCTAGATATATCATGTACAGGTACAAATTACCTATGATGAATATGATCATTATGTATATCTAAAATGTATCAATAAACTTAATTTTAAGAAAGTAGATCTGACTCCTAGTCAGTGCTAACACTGTCTCCTGCCGATACTCATGTTGTACTTATCAGGAGGCCAGCAGTCTCTCTCTGAAGCCAGATATAAATGAATTGCAAGATTAGTTTGTAATTTATAGTAAAACCCAAGGAAAAAGAATCAGAACAGAGGAGCAGTGCTGGTGAGGGTCTGTTTCAGGAAAGCAGTCACAAAGACTGGGCTCAGGTGACAGGAAAAAATAGTTGGAGTGTAGAAGCATTAAGGAGACAAGGTACAGCCTCTAGCCACAGGGTGAGGAAATGCACATAATTAGTCTAGGTTCCAAGTCTAGCTCTAAAATTTGCTGCTTCTGAAACTTGGGCTGCTTGGCTGGACCCCTGAGCCTCAAGTTTTCTTCATCTACAAAATGGGAATGTTAACAGCTATCCCATGGGTGTATTGGGAAAATTATAAGGAATCACAAATGTCAGATATTTAATATAGTGGAAGGCATAGAGGAGGTGCTCAACAATCATAATTGCTATTTTAATTAGTAGAGATTGTGTCTGAATTTGGAGATGTCTACAGGTAGGTATAGCTTGTTAAGCCTGAATTTCACCATCCTATGATATTGCTATACAATTTCTTCCAAGTCTAAGGCACATTAATGTTGGACTCATCATTCCTAGGGAGCTAATTTTCAGTTCCTGTGTGTGGCCTGATCATTCATCAGGCCCTTAGCAGCATTGGTGACTCTTTCTGTATGTCTGGAATGCTTTCTGATTCAAATTGACCTCTCTCTATTCAGAGTGGTTGGCTTGGTGCTGGCCATGCTCCCTGCATGTGGGGCACACACTCCGCCAGGGCCCTTTGGGGACCACCCGAGCAGGCCTGGAATGCCAGCAAGGCAGGCTATTGCATATTCCTTCAGGATGCAAGCAAGAGAACTAGAAAAGTCTGGAAGGGGACTATTCTATATTTATCAGGCATATAGATTTGGGTCCTTTTGAAAAATAAAATTTTGTTTTGGAGACTGGAGTTTTTTGAATTACATATGAAAGTTGGTGTGCCATAACCTTTTGGGGGTCCAGGTCCTTGAGGTTCTTAATCTGGCCCTGCCTGCTCATCTAGCTTTGGACAGCGTCCTTGGGGCCTGGTCACTGCTTATGGAGCCAGGCATCCAAACCCAAGGCTTTCCTTCCTCTGTTTCCTCTGTCTGAATTTAATGAACAAAACATGATTTTCTCCCTGGCTCTTCTTCTCTAGCCCTAGTACTACTGACCTATCTTCTTTTTTTTGTACTGGGGATCGAACTCGGGTCCTTGTGCTTGTGGGGCAGGTGGTGGAACCACTGAGCTAAATCCCCGGCTGACCTTTCACTTCTTTCTGACACCAAGGCCAGGTCTCTGTCTGTAGCCTAGGTCGTCTTCCGGCCATTCTTTCTGATCTAGCCCAGACACCAGCATGCCATTTCCATGCTTTCTCTTCCAGGACTCCTGCCTTACAGAGGAAGTGCAGGGCCTCAGCACTCTATGCTCTTCACGGGATGCTCCATCTTCCTGGCCCTCTCTCCAGACACACTATCCTCCCCCAACATCTACACAGTGTGCTACAGGACCATCTGGACCTAGTTCCTGCTCTGACCCCTTCTCCTTCCTAGTTATTCCGCACTTGTCTGACCAAAGGGAATCTTTTCTGGCAAGCACTCCCCACCTTTCTTCTCTGTACACTGAGATCCACACTAGCTTGTATCTGGATCACAGGACATTTTACACAATATCATGGTTACTTATTTATATGTCTGTCTCCAGATCCAACCACCAGTACTTGAAGTAAACAGACCAGATTTTACTCATTACTATATTTCCAATGTTCAGCTTGGTGCCCTAGCCCATCAGAGTTGCTACTTTGTTTAAGTAGAGGGTTTTATGGTTTGAATAGGAAGTGTTCCCTAAAGACTCATGAAATGAAGACTTTATGCCTAAAGCAGTAATGGTCAGAGGTGGGGTCTAGAGGGATGACTGGATTATGAGGTGCTAATCCATTGGTGAGTTTATAGCTGAATGGTCTATCAGAAGGAAGCCTGCAGTTGGAGGAAGTAGGTCACTGGGATGTGTCCTTAGGGTATGTCCTATCCCCAGCCTCTGCCCGCCTCTTTGGCTCTTCCTTCCTTTCTCCGCTTCCTAGTTGCCATCAGTGAACAGCTTTCCTCTGTCATGTGCTTCCATCATGGTGCTTCTGCCTTCAAGCCAGCCTACCACAGACCTCTGAAACACTGTTAGCCAAAATAAATCTTTCCTCCTATAAGTTGTATGTGTCAGGTATTTTATCCCAGAAACAGAAAGATGACTAATATAGATGACATTTTTTTTTCAGTTTATTTAGGTGGTAACAATATTCAAATTATTAATTTTTCTTTTACTTCTCATTTGGGCATGGTGGTAACAGCACAGATGTCCTGTTTATCTTGAAATGTCCCCTGTGACTTATTTTATAATGTAACACAGATTTAATCTTCCCAGATGACACTGATTCTGGCTAAATGAAATGCAGTGACCTTAGATCCTGTTCTGGAATGCTGGAGTTGCCTGATCTTTCAGCTTTCCTGATGACAACTGGGAGATGGGGTGACAACTGCATTTTTTTGCACATCACTCACGATAAACTGGTGCTATACACCTAGGCAAGAAATGGTCCCCGAGGGAGTGTGGTGGGAGTCCTGTCCATTTAGATTAGCCCCCTGAGTTTCCAGCTCACGTTTCCCTACATTGCCGAGGAGAAGTGTCATTTGTGGAGTTTCTCACATGGTTGAGTTCCAGGAGAGGGTAGCATTGGCAGGATTGTCCCAGAGTGTAAGAGGTGTAGCCACATCTTTTGTGCTCAAGGACAAATTTGAGGTCTGGTGGGCAGTTAATCATGAGGGAAAGAATTTAGAAAGTATAGGTTCTAATTGGGAGAAGTCACCTAAATTATTTGAGGTGTAGGTCCCTCAGCTGTCACGTGATTAAGTCCTTGCTCTGTTTTGGTGCCAGGATCAAATGTAATTATCAAAAGCCTTTTCTAGTTTGTGGTACTTTTTGGAAGTTTTTAAACTCATTTCTTCCTCATGCCACCTGGCACTGGGAGCTGCACCTGTGTTTCTGATACCCTCCTGGTCCCCTCCCGGCTGCAGCCTAACTTAAAGAACAGGGGGCTTCAGAGACAGCTGCCACAGATATGTACACGTGGAGGCATGTCTGTCCCAGACACTGTCCAGCATGCAGCACGCACGGCCTCATTTTCCTCACTACTATATATCATATAGGGATTTTTTTCTTAGATTTCAGAAACTTAAGACTGAGAGAGATGAAGTGACTTGACTAGGCCCACAAACTGCGACCTGGAAAGATGGAATGCCAACTCAGATCTGTTAGACACCAAAGCCTATGTTCTTTTCATTTCTCTCACATTGCTGATCAGAGCCCTTCTTCACCCAGGAGCACCCACCCATTTGCAGAGATTCAGCCTAAGCATTACCTTATCTATAATCCCACTCCTGGGCCCCCACTCCTTCCCCACCAATAGAACTTGCTAGGTCCTTCATAGAGCCTAGGCAGATAGACTTTTAGTATCTTAAGGCATTTTTCTGCTTAGTTGTTTGGCTTCTCAATGAAATCTTTCCACAGCAGGGACTGACTTCAAGTCCCTAGTGCTTCGCACTGGGCCGATGTAAAGTAAGTACTCCAGAAAGTTATGCTGAATTTAAGAATGAATGAATGAATTATTGTTTCCCTATCTGGGGTATACATAGGAAGCACCCATTGCTAATGATTTGAGATTAATGGTTCTATGCATCAGAATCACCTGGAAATCCTGAAGAAAACCCACACATCTACCTTTTAGAGCTCTCCTGGGGTCTCTGAGGCACAGCCAGACTTGGAAACTCTGGCCTTAGTGCAGTGCTTTTCAAACTTTAATATGCATAGGAACCACTTGGAGATTATTGTTAAAGTCCTGATTTAAGTTTAGTAGTTCTGGGGTGCAAAACTTCAAAGTCTGCATTTCTGAGTAGTTCCCAGAGCATGTCAATATTGCTTGCTTATTACACTTTGACTAGCAAGGCCTCAGAATACTCTGCAGACCAGAAATATGTTTGGGTCATACAATGGAAAATGATCTACTCCTGAGACTCCATGCCTGGTTCTGTGGGCAGGGAACATTTCTGGGCCTGAGACTATGTCTGATCTCATTTTGATTCTGAGTTGCACGAGCAGGGATGAGCACAGAATTTGATCATAACCCTACTTCCTGAGGGCTTGCATTCTTTTCTGGCTCTTCAAACATAATCTTGGTCCCTCTGGATGTGACATAAAATGGTAGAGGTGTGCAGGGTACCATCCTGAGATTAATGAGCTGAAGTCCAGTGTCACCTTACCTGCTCTGTGAGAAGTCCCTAGTAGGAGGTAGGAGGTAGCACTGTTAAAGACAAAAAGTGATCTACTCGTTGCTTCTGAGTGAGAATTCACCTTTCCTATCTAGACTAAGGTCTGTCTTGTTCAAGGAGCATGTTTCAGCCACATTAGGTAGCAGCCCTGGAAGAACCTGACCTCAGAACCAGTGGGAAGAGCGTGAGTGTTGGAGTTACAAAGACAAACCAGTTCCCCTAAACACTTGATTAAGTGAGCTCCGACAAATTACTCTGGGCCTCAATTTTTTTTAAATCTGAGAAATGGAGATGATCACACTCTTTTCAAATGTTTAGTTTGATAACAGAAACTGCATGAAGAATGAAAGTCTCTGTGCACAGTGGCTGTTCCATTAAAAAACAAAATGTCCAATAAACAGTACTTTTTAGGCAAAGCTAATTACCTTGATCATTTATGTCAGTGCATAATGAAAAATCTGGGATAAAAGCTGAAAAAGTGGGATAATATTGTCCTGTCCAACCTATGTCCTGCAGTTAAGGGGTCTGTTGAGTTAATATAATATGGAGAGCTAGATTTGAAGGTTACTTGAGTTCAGGTACTTGTCTAAGGACAGGCTTCAACATTCGTCCTTGATCCTAGAGAAGAGATCTGGGAAGAGGTGAGGATGCTTGCTCCCTGTAGGGTCCAAAGAAGAAGAAGAGGCCCAAAGGACCACAGGCCTCTGTACTGGGCTGCTCAGCATGGTAGCTAGCACTGAAGCTGAGAAAGCTACAGCAGAGAAGAGCCTGGCCCAGGAGAACACACCCACAGGATAAGGTCATCCTAGAGCTATCACCGGGAACAGCAGCAACAGCAAATGGATAGAGGACAAAATTGTAGAATTTCTTTAATCTACCTTGATAATGACTGAGGGTGGATATTGAGGCCCAGAGAGAAGAAGAGATTTGCTAATGTGAAGGTGGTAGTTAAAAATCACAGCTTCAACCCAGGGTTTCTGTCTCCAGATTATCTTTAGAAAACTAGAAGTCAGAAAGTGATTTCCCCTTTCCCTCCTGCTTCAGTTTACTTTATAGACAGTTTTTAGCACCTGAGACAATAAATTGAGAGAGGGTAGGAACACAGTTTTAAAATCGTACCATGGATATATCAAAAGGTCACTGAAAGAATCAAAAGATACTCAAACCATAAGCTCTTTCAATTTATAGATGATAAGACTGGAAACCAGAAAAACTGGGTGACCAACCCAAGGCCGCGTGGCCCAAGACTCTTCCCAGCTGTGCTGGCCTGTATCGCAGCTGTGTCCCAGGCAGCTACCACCACCAACTGAATGTTTCAGTGTTAAATGTCAGACTTTAATCCAAGATCTTTATGTGAACTGCACTTCTGTGTTTGCTGCAAAACTGAAGTTGAGGGTACATATCAACACATCGTTTAGGATCATCCATGCAAATCACTGAAGAGCTCAGGTTTCACTGTGAGGAAAAATACCTCTCCTCTGAGAGGTGGGTATAGTCTCCATTTCTGATAATGCAAACCATGAAAGTAATTATGTTTTCCTATTTATTCTGTTTGGCAGCAATGAAGCTCAGAGTCTAATTTGAGCTATAATCACAGATATGTTTACTCTTTTTTACTTTTGATCCCAATTTCTGTTTACTTTAATATATGTGTCTTTCCATATAAGAGGATTTAATTACTTTCTTTTGGGAGAAATGGAGACATATAATCATTATCATATAATAATTATGATAAAAATAATATATGTGTTATGCTATTATTGTTATTAGTACTACAACCACCATTACTGGAGCTCTTCCTTGTGCCTGAAAAATGCTGAACATTTTACAAATCCTCTTTGTGATCCTTATAACAATCCTGTAATGGAAATTTTAATAACCTCAAGTTAGGGGCTGGGGATTTAGCTCAGTGGTTCCACCGCCTGTCTTGAAAGCGCAAGGGCCTGAGTTCGATCCCCGGTACAAAAAAAAAACCCCTCAAGTTAGAAATGAAAACTCTGAAAGATGACATAATCTTTTCACAGGGAGACAGTCAGGGAGGGGTCCAATCAGGGAGCTTCAGTGTTCCCATCTGTAAGCTGGATGTCATCGTGGGTTGACATAATTACTTTTTTTTTTGGTACCAGGGATTGAACTCAGGACCTTGAGCTTGTGAGGCAGGTGGTGGCACCACTGAGCTAAATCCCCAACCCCATAATTACTATTTTAATTAGTAGAGATTGTGTCTGGATTTGCATTTGGAGATGTCTACAGGTAGGTTTCACTTGTTAAGCCTGAATTTCGCCATCCCATGATATTGCTACACAGTTTCTTCCAAGTCTAGGACCAATACAGTCTGGATGATGTTCTCATTTATTTGAAGGATTAAGCAGACTATGGCATTAAATTCTTTATTGGTTCATTCTGTCATGTCCACAGACCACAGGAAAACTGCCCGATTTTGTTTCAGATTCAAAGAGTTCAGGCTTTCTCCCCCCACCACCATTATTGATAACTTCCTGTCATTGCAACTGATTATCCCCAATTGGTTCCAGTCACACAGGGCTCCTTTGCCATTGAGCCACCTGGAATTGGCTTGTGCAGCTTACCATACAACATGCAACAAGGCAGGGGAAGAGACAGGAAATTCTCCACTGGTTCGCTTACCTATGTCTGAAATCTTTATTTCTGACAGAAGACAGGAGAGCAGGGAATAGAAGAAAGAATGAGGTGTTAGCAGCAGGGTTAGAAGCATTATTAGCAGCCTGAAAACTTGACAGCAATGGTACTGTGCAATATTATAATAAATATAGACTTAGCAGCTATGACACTGATATATCTTATATTGGATATTGCTTGTCAGTGAGTTCACTTACAAGCAGCTACATATCACAGAAGAGCCATGGTTCCACCTGCACCACCACTGCTGACTCGGGAAGAAGACTAGCATGACACATTCTGCTGCTGTAACAAGGGCTAAGACAGAGATGGGAACAACCACTTCTCTTCCCCATACAGCTACACACCCAGAGACACAAAGACTTGCTGCCCTTCGTCTCTGCATGCTTCCCTGCAAAACATTGTCAAAATCTGAGGAGCCTAAAAGAGCCTGTTCAGAGTAGGAGACTGAATAGAAATACACTATAATTAGAAGGCGGGGGCAGAACATGGAGAAACAGGCATAGGGGAAAAGACTGAAGGAAAAGATATGTAAATGATAATATATTAATTGAATTTTCTTTCCAAATTTCTTTTATTCCTCCTTTCCTTGCTCACTGTCATACATGATCCCCCCAACAACTGTGGGAATATGGGGTTTCTTATCTGAAAGATATAGAAATGGAGGCCCAGAGAAACTGGTTAACTGCTTTGTCCAATGTTGTACCGCTTCTCTGCTAAGGTGTGCTGACCCCTGGCCCACGGCTTTTGCCCTTGTAGTACATATTCACAGCAGAATGAAACAAATATACTCAAGGGTTCTTTCTTCCTTGGCAGATGCCTATGCGGGTCAACCTCATAACAGAGAGAAGACAGGCAGAGGATATTCCATTGGTGGCCCACTTCTCACTTGGGCTGATACTTGATTTCCCATGCACACACAGCATGTGAGCTTCCCTCATTTGTCTGGTGTGTGAGTGTGGAGGGCGGGGGGCACTTACACTTTTAGAGCAATGATGGCTGTGAGGCAGCCAGCAAGCTTTGCCCTCCTTCCACATGTGTCAAGTGTAACTTGACAAGGCACTAAGATACGTGACAATTCTTTGGTGAGATGTCCTTCTGGATTTTGGTCCACCATTCTAGAAGCTGGACCTTGGACAAGCTCTTTAAATTCTCCAAGCCTCCTTTTGCTCATCTATCAAAGGGAATAATGATAAACACTTCACAGAGCTGTTGGACTTGGCAAACAGCAGGAGCCAACCTTTTCCCTGCCCACTTTGGAGGAAGGTTCTCCAGCTCAAGGGCCTGTCCTGCTCACATGGATCTCAGCCCAGGAAACAGGTGGATCCCATTCCCTAAAACAGTCCTGAGGGAACTTGGTGCACTTTTTCCAGAAAGAAAGAGTGGAGACTCCGCTGTCTTTAAAGCACAGCTTCTCCACATGCCCCTGAACCCACCCATCCTGTGACACTTGTTTTGATTCTAAAAATATCTGGTTCAGGGGAGCAGATGAAAAATGTAAAATACTGAGCCCTTCTCTGAGCTGTAAGTGTGGCTGTGCTCTATTACTCCTGGTCAGGAGGGGGCAAAGGCTGATCCAGCTGGTTCTACAGCACCAAGGAACAGAGAGGCACTGCCTAGGTCAGCCTGTGGGCTTTAGCTCAGTATTGGCCAGGTGAAGGTAACTGCTGCTAACTCTGATGAGTGTTAAATAACAGGACCAAACCTGGTGACATTGACACAGGGCCCTCACCCATTATGCCATTCCTTGTTCATATTAAAAAACTCTCATATGACTAAGTCTAATCTGTTGTATTTAGAACAGTGCCAAGCACACATCTGTGGATGAATGTGAGCTGCCATTGTGAATACCAAGAAATGTTCCCTTTCAAGGAACATTCCCTGTTTCTCAGGAACATGGTGGGACAGCTAGTTTTTCTAAATTTTTCTTTTTTTAGTACCGGAGATAGAACTCGGGACCTTGCACTTGTGAGGCGGCCAGTGGAACCACTGAGCTAAATCCCTGGCCCGACTAAGTCTAATCTGTTTAGTGCTATAAAGCAAAAAAGAATATTAAATGGCTCTAGGGAGTCTAACTCTCAGCGGCCAGTAGCCTTCCACATCACCTGGTGCCAAGGACATCTTCCTGTCCCAAGAGTGGCTGGGAAGTGAAGAGTTCCAGAGTCTGGCAGGCCAAGCTCCACCCTGTTTCACTTCTCTGGGCCCTTTGAAGGCAAGGGGATCATATCAGGAAATACAAGAGACATGGTGTTACATACCTCAGCTCCAGGATGTTGGTGACATTTCCAGAGGGGAAGATCCTGCGGATGTAGTTGAAGTCACCCACATAGAGGCTCCCATCAGAGCCACAAGTGAGGGCCACAGGGGCCAGGAGCTTGTTACCATCAGCAAGGCCATTGCAGCTGGGGCAAGAGATGCTTCTCCGGCGCCCATTGCCCATGATGCTGCCAATGACAGGTGGCTGCTGAGACACAAACTGGTTCTCCCCATTCCCTTTGTGGAGGATGCCTGGGATGAGGATAGAGGAACAGAATCACCAAGGGACCAGGAAGAAGGTTCCCTTTCTTGTGGTCACCACAGTCACCTTGATTTTGCAAAAAACTTCCAGACTTTCCAATAACTTTCAGACTCATCTTGCCAGGCTGTGCCTCAACTCCCAGTGACCTCAGCAGGCCACACTGTTTTAATGATTTACTTCTCACCTAAATCCTAGAAGATGGCACTGTTATTACCATTCTTGCAGCAGAGGGTACAGACCAGGCAGCTTGCTCAGGCTACATAGCCAAGAAAAGGAGAGCCCCAGAGTCCAGCCCTTGACTATTTGGCCACCTGCCTCTCAAAGAGGCTGCATGTTTTGCATGTGGCCTGTCCATATCTCTACGACAGTATGGATTTTGTATTCTGCTTGCTTGTTTTTCTCCTTTTTGATCAATGCCATCTCAAGTATGGACATTATTTTTTTTCTTTCTGTATCCCCAGTGCCTATCACAGAATTTGACACACAGTAGATACCAATGAATATTTATACAGATGAATGAACAAAACTCAGTCTCTTCTCTCCAAAGTAGAACCAAGAGACTGGGGTTTTGCCCAGTTTTCCTACTAAAGGGTTGATCTCAGAACTTGCAGAGAGCTCTCTTTTGTTTTTACTGCTGTAGGGCCTCAGTTTCCCCATCAACAAAAATAAGACGACTAACCTCAATGACTTGTGAATTTCCTCCACATTTATGCTGTTTCTCTTCATTCCAGATCATCTTTTCTTGCCTGATATTGCTACAGCCTCCTAGTTGGGCCCTGCTTCCTGCCTTCCATACTGAAGCATGAGTAGGTTTTGGCTTTTATAGATCACAAAAATCTTCCTTCCAGCCGTCACCTTTTAGCTTTGCAAAAGCTGTCCTTTATTGAATGAATTTCTTTAATTTTTTATGCAGTCTAATCAATTCTGCTTTAAACTTTGTGCTTTTTTAGGCTTTTGGAAATCCTTTCCTGAGATTTTAGAGGCTCTTTTTCTATATTTTCTTCCATTAATTTTCAATTGCTCTCTTTTGCATTTGGATGTTTATAAAATATTTAAATTTACTTTGTATATGGCGTGAAGAGAGGTTTAATGTAATTTTTTTGACCACATATTGAGCCAAGCACTTCCAGTGTCAATTTCTAACGCACCTACCATTCTCTACTGAAATGTGATGCTACATCTACCACATACCAAGTTTCTATTTATACATGGTATGTGATAGAAACTCCCAGTTATCCACTGACACCTCTCCCATATACCCTTTCCTTCATCTGTAGCTGACATCTAGCTGGGTACATGACTACCTGGAGCAGCCTACTGCACCACCCCTCAACCTCCATACCCTCAGGGGCAGCTCCATCCGTCACTAAGTTCTGGCCAATGCCATGCAAGTTGCAGTGGTGTGGGCAGCTGTGCAGAGCAGAGGACTCATAATGGGAGCAGCTTGCTTGTCCTTTTCCTCCTTCTTGCTGGTTAGAAAGTGGAGGTAAAGACTAGAGCCAAAGTGGTCACTTGGACTATGACCTTGAAGGGAAGAAGAGCTGAGTATACCAAGAAGAGAGGAGGAACTTGGCTTCTGACCCTGCAGCCCTGCACTGTCTACCTCCAGGCTTGCAGGTGAGCAAGAAAGCAACTCTAACCTGTTTGCAATTGTGTAATTTGGCTTTTCTGACCCTTCAGGCCACACCTAGTTTTAAATCCTGCTCATAGGTCAGTTCCTAACCTCCTTGCTCTGCCCCATGGATTTTAGTTATTGTCTCTGTGCCAGTACCACACAAGTTCAGGTTTTGTAGTTTTCTAATTTAGCACACTATCTGGTGATTCCATTTCATAGGTTCTTATTTTAAAGACTGACTTAGCTATTTAAAAGTCTTTATTTTATCATAAACTTTAGAATTAGTTTGTCAACTTCCTCCCCAAACCTGCTGTGGCTTTAAGGGGTATTCCTTGCCTTTTAGATTAGGCCGGAGACATGTGACATCATTATTATGTTTAGTTGCCCCATGGTGGAGAATGATCAGATGGAGTCATCTAAAGTACAGATGTGACCATGGCACTGGCAGTTGCATGCTTTAAAGCTCTCAGAGGCCTCTGGATGGAGTCCAAGTCCTAATCTGTTTACTCTGGGCTCCAGCAGCTCAAGTCCCAGCTTTGGCTTTGGCCACCATTCTCTTCATCTCATTCTCTACTAAAATTGAGATGGACCTTCTCTTCAATTACTCTTCTTCTTCATTTTTTTTTTGTTCTTTTGTTTTTTTGGAACCGGGGATCGATACTCTTCTTCTTGGCTTCAACCCTTTGACGTGTACTGTGCTCTCTGCTGGAATGATCCCCTTCCTTGGTACACAAGGGTAATCCTATAGCCCCTCTGAGATCCCTCTGCCCCTGGGGATGCCTTGATGAACCAGGACACTGAGCAAGGTGCCTCTTATGCCTCTGTGGTATCCTGCACCTTCCCCTGGCATGACATGGCCTATGGCACACCAATGAAATTGCCTGGTGAGAACTTATCTCTGCCCATGTAAAGTCTTAAGGCCTCTCATTGCTGCACCCACAGTGCCTAGCATGGTGACAGACTCATTGTATATACTCAAGCATTATTTGTTGACAGCCTCCTGACTGGCTGATAACCTAGGAGCTCATTTTAAAAAATTATTATTACATTTTTAAAATTTATTAAGTTTATTGGTACATTTTAGGTATACTATACAGCTACATTCATCATTGGGAATTTGTACCTTTATATGATGTATCTTGGTTCTTATTTTTTTTCCCCATTCCCCTGCCCTCCCTTCAACCCCTCCACCCCTCCCTATTTACAAAGACATTGTTTCCATTTATTACTTTGCTCATGTTTACTTCTTTCCTTTACCTTTCCCACTTCCCCTTCCTGTTAAGAGCCCATGTTATTCAAAGTGTGCATTTTTTGTCTGGAGGATCAGAAGATAGAATACAAGGTCCCACCCCAGCCTGGCTGAAGGAACTCCATTATTCCACTCACCACTTTGGATGTTGAGGGCATGATGTTTGTCCAGGCTCCACCCTCCAAGCTTGGATGCATCAATTTCATAACCCTGCAGCACTGCTGTTCTTTTTTCCCACAGAATCAGATCTGGGCAGGACTCATACTCATAACCCACGGAAACTGTCCGGAGCAAGAAGAACAAAATGCACAGATGATAAAGCCTCTTCTTTGGGCCCTTGCAAGTGAGGCTCTTTGGTTATCTCTTGCAGAAGAGGAAAAATGAAGCATATATTTACCTGGGAACCAGAATCATGTGAAATACTAATACAGCTATACTGAGCCTTTAAACTTTTTGTTTTGAAGAACAATTGAACATTATTGTGAAAAGTTAAACAAATGTACTAAATAAAAAGATCCAGGTGAATCAGTTCCAGGGAAGTAATTTTTAATATGTGAAATATTTTATGCAGAAGTCTTCACTATAGTATTATTTATAATAGTGGAAAATTAGAATTAATCTAAAGGTTCAAAAAGATGAGAGATTAAGTAAACCTAACCATGTCCAATCCAGAAATATTATGCAGCCACTGGAAATTATGGTTGTGAAGACCATGTGGTGACATGGGAAGTGCTTATGTATTAATACTCAGTTGAAAAGACTGGTTATGTTCAGTAATTTATCTGTGCTAAATAAAACAAAACACACAAAATCCCCCAAAACTTCCATATGAAAAAAATCAGCAAATAGTTGTAATTGTTATAGGATCATGACTTTTTTTTCTTTTGTCCTTTTATCAAGTTTTTATGAATGAACATAAGATTGTTTTTGTAAGAAAAAAATGCACACTCATTTATAATGAATACATGGGGTCCTTTGTAGGGGGCGGGATCAAACTAGGGACCTTGAGCTTGAGATGCATGGAGTCCTTTTAAAGCAGGAAGCTACTTTGAGTTTTCAAAGCTTGAAAATTTCCTGGTTTCTTTTGTTTCCTAAATCCAGCCCCTCAGGAGGTCCCTGGGATGAAGGCTAAACAGGGCAGGCTCTCTGAGCCCAGGGTTGTGAAAGCGCCCTAACTGACCTTGGGAGGCGATCAGGAGAGACAGGCGTGCCACTTGTTTCTCTTATCTCTGGGTGTAGGTGCCATTTCGCACTGGCCAATATCCAATATCCATGTTTGAAGGAGAAATAAACACTGTACTAAATGCATTTAGTACATTTAACTTTTCACAATAATGTATAATTGCTCTTTAAAAATAAAAAAGATTCTAAGGTTCAGCATTGCTGTGTTGGTATTTCACTGGTTCTGGTTCCCAGGTAGAAATCTTAGTTTCTTGTAGGTGCTGTAGACTGAGCATCTTCAGCAAGAGGGGAGTGGGCTGGAAGTTGTGTCTGTGCTCTCTTCCTCATGACCTGAGTCCTGCTAGCAGTCACTGTGCCTCCTCCTGGTCACTTGTGATCTCAGCCCTGACATTTTATTGTGTGGACTTTACCCCTTTGAACTGATTGGTGGGCGCTAAATATGTTCATTTCATCCATAGACATTATAACACTTTCACTTACAGATGTGATTTGTTCTGCAGAAGGACCTTGAACTGTGAGAGATGGCAACTTTGTTTCTAATGTGCCATCAGAATAAGGATAAGGATGCAACCTACCAGGAAGATCAGGGATAAAAGTAGCTCTGAGCTGTGCGTCCTTGGGAAGCCATCTCAATTCTCTGGGCCTCACACCGAATTTAGGCATGAAGATTCCTTACAAGGTGATTGTAGGACTCACTAAATTCCAAATGTACAGGGAAGCACATTGCCCACAGCAGGTACTCAAAGGACAGGCTCTTATTTCCTTCCCCTCCCACCTGGTCTTTCTCCCTCTTTCCCTCTTTTCCTGCCTTTCTTCCTTTCTAAAAACAGCTTTACTTCTCTGCTTCCTCATTCTGCTTTTCCTGGCAAAGAAAATGGCACTGGAGTAGGATTCAAGATGAGAAGAGATTTGCTGGGCTATTATTAAGTTCTTGGTGGATTCACCCTGCAGGAGTCAAGACTGCTAATATCCAGCTCTGTACCCTTGTGGGGACCATGCTCTGCTGCGGAAGTTGGAAGGAGTCCAGCCAGTCCCAGAAACCCAAGGTCTCAGTGAGATGGGGGACGCTATAACCAGCTTTGGCTTCATCTCCACAAAGGACAGCAAGAACAACACAGACAACTTCCCTGATAGGAAATAAGATCATAAGGCCTAAAATGCACTTTGGATGAAAGGAATATTTTAGCTCCTGTACCTTACAAGAATGAAAGAAGCCTGGATTTTTAGCTTCTCTATTTTAATGTGTAGGGTTAGGCAGGATGGCTGTGGCATGGCCAGGCAACATCCATAGATTCTACCTCTATGGCATATAGCATCTCTTAGCTCATCACATACCACCACAGTGTTTTCTGAGGGCCATTTGGTTTTGTAGCCATTTTAATGGTCAAATTTCCCACATTTGGGTCTTTCCAGCCATTTTTTTTAGGTCATAGAAGGCCATTCAGAGGTCTTACAGGCCAATTAAGCATGAGGTATTTTTGATCTGACAGGAGAAAGAGGGCAAGAGGTAGTCAGGGAGGTAGAAAGATTTCCCTCACCCAGGTACTCTTTCTCTGAGGATAGCACTATGTTCTGTGGTGGGGAGGCTTACCGAAGGCTTCGGAGAGCCCAAACACCTTCTGGTTGTAGACATCTGTCTTGTCCCAGATGAAATAATAGGATAGTTCTGGTGCTGCAGCAAACCATTTCCGGAAGAGGCGGCCTTCAACCGCCACCATGAGGTGGACCTTCATGAGGTTGAAGGGGATAGTAGGATGGGTGAGGCTGATCCTCAGGACAGATTTGTAGCCTGGAGTCCGGCTGCTTAGGTAGCTCAGCCTTATCTTGCAGCCAGAGATGGCAATTTCCTCCTGCAGAGCCTAGAGCAGAAACAGAGCACAAGGGATGGTTGCTGAGTCACCCAGGGAAGGGCAGATGGTCATGGCCACAAGACTCTGGGTTTGCAAGAGGCACAGGACAAAGCAGAGGAGAGTAGGTAAGATGGGGGAAGAGGAAGAATAAAAAGAAGAGGGGGATGAAGAAGATGAGGAGGAAGGGGAACAAAGGATGAGAAAGGAGAAAAGGGACTGAAGGAGAAGGAAAACAAACCAGTAGTCTTGGTTTTGGGGCCAACTCTTAACGTGGTGTAGCCTGGCATAGGCCACCTGGCCTCCATGAGCCTCAGGCTTCTTTTCTGTGTAACAAGCATGATAATACCCACTTTTCTGTGGAACTGGCAGGGACACATAGGATAATGCATATCAGATACTTAGTGGCATGCCAACTCTGATTCACTAACTGTGCTGTTCTAAAAAAAAAAACAAACAAAACTCAGGGAACGTCTGCATCCCAGTTTCCTCACTGGATGAGCACAGGGTGGAGGGAGGTTACACACGAGCAGTGCCTGGCACATTGATGCTGTTAGAACAGCGGTCCTGCAGGTGCTGGCAGTGCTGGAAGCAGGAGGTGCTAGGAAGAGAGTCTTTTCTCTCCAACTAATGAAGACAGCTGCCTGAGAAGAAGGATGGCTTTGCTCTTGAACTTTTGCTAAAGGAAGATATGCCTCCAGTAGCAGTCCTTTCCAGGAAAGTAAACAGAGGCATGCATGGTTGGCTAAACAAATTATCAGAGTCAACAGCACAGCCCAGCAAACCTGCTCCAATGGCCCTGCTCAGCCCAGAGAGGCCAAATTGGCAGCAAGGAGTTTTTGTGCACATTAGGTCCCCACTCAAGTGCCCCATCAGATGAAACCCATCAGGTGGGGAAAGCAATGCTTTACCTGCTGGCTATAGCGGGCTCAGACCCAAGATGGAAAGAGTCATGAATGCCAGATGATCAGGCATGTGGCATCAGCAGACAATTTCATCAGCTTGGTGCTCTGGGTTCTCTTTCAAGAAAGGACCATGAAGTTAATTGCCTCATTCAAGGGGCAATGATTTTTTTGCCCTGTGTTCACAGAAGAACTCGGCCTTTTTCATTCTGTCCATTTCACAGGAGGGTATGAACCTTCACTCTATCCTGCTCTCCTGAACATAGGAAATTCTAGGGATTGAGCTAAAACCAAAGCTGTCTTCCGAAATCACAGACTACAAGTTCTAGGAGATGCAGGCTCTACCCCTGGTGAACCATAGGCAGGGCTCAGGTATGACCTTGATGCTCTTATGAGTATTTCCCTTCATGCTTTCGATTTCATGATTTTGATTGCACTTGCAAAGGCTAGTCAATGATAGGCCTGGGAAACCCAGCATTTGTTTTTGTATATTTTTGTGTGTGACAATAGCAAGGTTGGTGCCCCAACTGGACCTATAGCCACCGAGCTCTGGGAGCACTGTAAAGAGGTGTGACCTAGAACCTCATCTGTTCCAAAGTCCCTGCTCTTGGAGAAAAATGCCTAGCTGCAGCTAAGGCTGGGCTGAGTAACAAATTAGTTCTCTCTAGCAAGTTCTATCTCCACTGACAACCATTTCATAAGAAAGGTCAGCCTGGTCGTTCAGACAGGAGACAGGTGTTGAATCTCTGAAAAGGAGTGTGCTTTCAACCTGTGAGTGCAATAAGAATTTTGAAATGGTTGTATTCCTTCTTGTGGGTTAGTGTTGGAAGCCATGCAACAGGGCACACGCAGAGAGATGTGTTTGCTCAGCCAGGCATGAAATACACACACATAAATGTATAAACTCTGCTCCACCGGCGCCCGAGCAATCCATTAACATGCACATTGCCCAAGTTCTCATTAAGCAGGGGAAGTGACTGGGAGCTTCTGCTCTGTCATCTCTCCCCTTCCTCAGGCCTTCCTTTCTGCCCTTATAATCAGGCTGGGGGTGGCAGAGGACATGCAGCTTGGTGGGGCTTTGTTAGGCAAAGAATTTATGTTGATTTCCATCAGATTAAAATGCATCTTTTCCAATTACTTTCCTTTAATGACAATTAAGTAAAACGCTTGTGTGTATAGATTTGAGCCAAAGTAATTCTTAATTGGCATGAAGGCAGCATGTGTTAAATAATTTTAATAATAATAATAATAATAATAATAGCTAAAATATATTGGGCACTTACTAGGTGTCTGACATTGTGCTAAGTAGCTCATATACATTTTTCTCCTTTAATCTTTATTATAATGTTCTCTATTTGGGATCCTGTGGCTTATTCCTCTTGGTAGAACCTATTATTATAAACACTTTTAACAGAAATATTGAGAGACGGAACACCCTGGAGGCTGCAGAAAAGCAGAGTAGAAGTGAGCTAAATAGCAGAGTGGAGGGAGGGGGAATTGACTACTAACCCTAGTGTGCCAGGCAGGTTAACCAGTCTCATGTGTTTTCAGCGCACAGGACAGTGGCCCTCATGTCTTGACACCATGCCTGCTGTAGGATTTGGCAGCTGGATTCTGCAAGGTGGACTGATAATAGGGTGCTTTCTTCTTTCTACCATTTCTGGGATCCTACACTACTCCCGAAATGAAACAAAAGCATGGCAAATGCAGTTAGGTACCTGAATTTCTGGCACGATAGGACCTTTCTCTGCACAGGAGCTGGCGAAGGACGTCAGTGGGGATGGAGACACGACAGGGTTGGGGCGAGCGAAGTTGCTCAGGTCACAGCTGGGGATCTCATTCTCCTCATGCCTCATGACAATGGTTTCCATGACAAAGAAACGATCCCAGGGTAGCCACAGGGTGTGCTCCTGTGTGATGAAAGGTGCCCTCTCAAACCTCAGGATGATGGAGATGCCGCCATTTGTGACCAAGTCAAAGCTGTGGGAGTGGGGAGTAGCAGAGAAAGCAGGATGATGATGAGGAGGAGAAAGAGACAGAAAGGAGAGAAAAATCACACAAAGCATTTGAGCATGTAGTGAGGGAGACTCCAACACCTATAGCAGTGGCGGTGAACCTATGGCACGTGTGTTATTGCATTTTTCTTTTAAGTCTAAAGATGTTAATTTAGAATTATTTTTTCTAAACTAAAATCTCAGTATTCAGGTATATTTGCAGTGTTGGACTCTATGATAAATAAGTGGGTTTTGGGTTGCAGTTTGGCATTTGGTTTCTTTGTTGGTATTGGGGATCAAACTTGGGACCTTGTGCTTGTGAGGCAGGTGGTGGCACCACTGACCAAAATCCCTGGCCTCGGGGCACTTGGTTTCTAAAAGGTTAGCCACCACTGACCTAGAGACTCAACTGCACTCACAAACAAGGACAGTGATTCCAGAAAGCATCTGTTGTTGTCAAATGATTCACCATAGAGAATTTATTGAAGCCAAATTAATCACTGCAACAGAGAGCCATTTTCCAGGGCACAGGATAGCTGACACCTGGCTGCCGCGGTGCTTCTGGTACAACAGGCTTCTAAATGTGTCAGAGCTGAAGCCCAGTAAAGTCACTGTAATAAAGCAGAAAATGCTCTGACCTGTCAGGAACCCCAGGCCTAGTCCTGGTTCTGTCATTAACCACAGTGTGGTCTTAAGTAAATCACTTAGCATTTCTGATCCTCACTATTCTCATCTGTAAAATGCAAAAGTTCGAGTGGATTACTCTTAATTCACTCAGAATCTATGACTCTACTGCAATTTTGGCTCTTATTATGATGATTACTTAACAAAAGCCTTTGCAATTACAAAACACCTGAGTTGTTTAGAGACAGCACAACTAGAATCACAGTACAGTATCTTACGAGAGAAAGGGGAATCAGAAGACAGAGCATCAACCACCCGGGTGAGATGAGGTCACTGCGACAGAGCTGAGAGCTGGCGGCCCGGCCTCTGTTCACAGTGCTCTGCAGATGGAGGGCATCCTAGGCCTCATCCTGCCTCTGATACCACCAAACAGGCTCGTGTCTCCAGGCCCTTCCCCATCTTAGATGACTCTCCTCTCTCCCCACCCTGGGCCTCTCTTATTCCAGACTTGCAGGGGATGTCAGAGGCAGAATCTCCCTCATCTCACCCCCCAGTTATCTCTTTTTTTGCTTAATAATATATTTTTTATTAGTACATGTTTGCAGTACATAATGATTACATTCACTGTGGGGAACTGGTACATGTACATAATACATCTCAATTCGTTTTTGCTCCACTTCCCCTGAAACCCCGTTTATTTCTTCTTAACATTTTTTCTTCTTTTTGGCCAGGATCAGATTTATTTATTTGTTTTATAAGTCTTTATCAAGTTAATGATCATAAACACAGATTAACAGCCAGACTAATAGGCCCCCAAACGTATAAGATACATAAGACAATTTTACTAAATCAAGGTACACTTTTAGATACATTGGCCATACTACCCTTAAAACATCTTGTACTCAGACTAGGTCCAGCCAGAAAAATGCGGGTAGCTTGTTAGGTTCTGGTGTCTGAAGTCTCATTAACTCCCATCACCTGCAGACAAACCAAGCAAGGCACTTGCCCTTCCAAACCTTGGCATGGACACTTTATTGTTGAAAATCCAAGGAAAGTGAGTCCACATATGTATGCCTCAATGTTCTTGACAGTGCCCCACTTCCAAGGGAGCCTGATCTGTGGCTCCACAGCCACATGTTCAGAGGCTAGTGAGCTCAGGTTGTGACAAGGAGAAAGGAAGCCCAGGCATAAGCCAAGGACACTTACTAATCCTGTAGGCCAGGTCTGCTTAGCCAAGTAGAGTGCCTGGTGGTGTCTAAGATCCCATGTCAGTATGCAACAAGATCTCAGACTAGAATTTTTTGTCCTTTCCCCTACTAAGACAGTTGCATAAATCAAGTAACAGCTGAACCACTGGAAGGGAACCTATTGGTCATTTGCCATAACCCCCCTCCCAATATGATGTTCTCGTCCCTTCTACCGAATCACCATCAAGGGACTGTTTAGCTCCTACTTGTTCATTCCCAGTGACAAGGATCTTGCTATATTCACAGGAACACTGGCCCATCTTTGGCTCATTATGACTGTCAAGATTTTTTAAAAAATTGTAATTGTGCCTGGGTTCCCCTCCTCCTAGTTCCTTATTCACTGGGCCTGGTTACACCTACTGAGATGACTTCAGACTGGTCTCTTCCTTCTGCCCTATGCCATCCCTTCAAGACCTAGAAACAGTGGTCCTGTGCACCTGCTATCCCCTGGCTATAGTGTCTCTTTGGACAAAGTCCTTTTAGCTATTACTTTTAGGGTACATTTCTAAGGTCTCTCCTCATCCTGCTTTTTTTTGAACAGTTCAAACGTCACCCCTCATACAGCCTTACCCAGCCAGGGTTCCAGTCCCCAGCCCAGCTTCCATGCAGCATGTCCATTCCTTTTTAGAGCCCACATCACATTATCCTGTAACTGCTCATTTAGCCCTTGGGCCATTGATTCCTCTGCCAATCAAGGGCCAAGCTGTGTGCTTTATGGTTAAAAATTAATAGAATGAATGCACGAGTAACACTTCCATCTACTTCTGAACTTACTGTCCATTGAACATTCCAAGTCCTTTCTAAGTGTACCTGTTGTTGCAAGCCCATGCAGCATTTGCCTGTGGAACTGGTTTGAGAGACCCCAGTGCAGGATCTCACCTTCACCTGGATGAATCTACCTGGGGGGATCAGTGGGCCCACGGCTTCGGCTTGCTCTTCCTTTCTCTAGGGCTGCAAGGATTTTATATTCTACTGTTCTATCTAGTGCCAAATCCTGCTCTTGGTAGATGGTTCCTCCCAGACTTAGGTGCACCAGCTCTAAAGACTGACTCTTTTGTCCTCTTTAGGAACTTCTTACCCGCTAGGCCTGCCCCTCACTCAGCCCTTCCTGTGTCACACTTAGGAAGAAGAAGCCCAGTGCCACCATCCTTCAATAAACAACAAAGGGGAACTCCACGGCAGTTATTTATTTTGGATCAAAAGTTCAGAAGACTATCCATGGTTTGGGGGAAACACTCAGAGAACCACTTTTCTGTCACAGAACTAATAACATCTGTGCTTTGACAGAGCATTTTCAACTATCAAACAGAATTTTGGCCAGACTCACAATAAGCTCCCTGGATGAGAGGCTGAGTGTGGGGAGGGTGGGAAGGCAAACATGAAAAGACATATTCTCAAGGCTGTGAGCGGGCTGGGGGCAGCTGGTCCTGCCAAGAGCTGAGAGCAACGGGCCAGGGCCAGGCCTGCTCATCTGGCAGGGAGACCTTGTTGTGGATACGAACGTGAATCTGACCCCAAAGGGAAGGCTGGGTTCTCAGAGGAAGCCAAACAGCTTAGAGCTCGTTGGAGTGCAGCTACTTATTCCACAGGTGAGTTATATCACCTTTCCAAGCCTCAATTTCCTCATCTGTAAAGTGAAGCTGACAATTATAATCACTTGGCAAGGTTAGTAATTAGATAGATGGGTGATGGATGGGAAAAACACATGGCCCCACACATTTCCTGGGCATCATGCGCTGTATAATGCCATTTTTCAATTCAATGAGCCTGAATTGTTTCTCTTGTCTGATATTCTTTTAGTTTTTCTTAATGGCTTCTATTTTCGGACTTTTTAATGAGTTCTTCGGCTAACTTCTCTGTTACTATTTTCTGTTTATGAGCTCCTGTCTTGAACTCTGTTATTTCAGTGTTGTGTGTGTGTGTGTGTGTGTGTGTGTGTGTAGGGGCTGGGGAACTGGTGAGGGTATCATGGTGTCTATATGGAAAGCAAGGGTTACACAGAGCAGTCGGATACAGTCCCTGGGCTCACAGCACAATTGCATATATTCCTATCTCAGACTATGTCTCTTGCCTTATGTTTTCTCCCAGAGTAGAGAGGGAAGAGAGAAGGGTCAATGAAGGGTGGAGGGAGAGAGTAAAAATGCTCCTTGTTCACAGATAAAAGGAGTTTCAGACAGCATGGGCACATATGACAACTTGTCTACAATTGTCTCAGTGTTTACATTGAGAAAAAAATGTAACCCCTACAATGCACTGGTAAGAAATGAGTTAAAACACAAACTCTATGCGGCAGTCATTCTGGCTATTCTGCCTTAACTTAGGAGGCAGATGGAGGAAACATCTCTCCCAGGAACCTCCATGCCCTCTAGGCAGGACAGACTGCAGGGGTGGCACAAACAGGGAGAATCAAGGCTTAGAGGTACAAGAGAGTGAGCTTTTCCCAAGGAAGGCCACACTTACATAAGGCTCCGGTGTGTTTTACAGACCTATACTAACGAAGCTCAGCAGGGCCTAAAGATTGACCATTTGCCATCACATATGAGTGACTGGGAAGTTTCATGACAAAAAAAGCATTCCTAAAGGTTTCTTTCTGAAGACTGTTTCCCAGCAGGTAATAATGTAGTTGGGACACCTGTTGCCGAGAATGCTTATAAATCCATTTGCATAACTCAGGCAGCCCCAAAAGGGAAGGGTGTAGAGACAGCATAATGGAGGAGATACTTTGGTGCTCTCGTAGGGGTCTGCACTGAGGTGTCTCCTGGGTCGGAACGTGTGCAGGGCAGGGAGCAGTGGCCTGGTCTGGCTAGCTTACCCTTGAGGCACAGCTACCAATCTCTCCCAGCTGGGTCCTTCCCATTCACACAGAGGCTAGGGCTCCCCATGCTGAGCTTGCCAACCCTGTCCAGAAGGCACACATGTCTACAAACAGACAAGCTTCTACTTCATTATCACCTCGGCCGGGACATGTTCACATCTGATATTGGATTAAAGAGGTGCTAAAATCAATCAGGCTGGAGCGTAATTTCCAACACAGTGAAAAAAAAAATCAACCTTATGGGCCCACACTTAGCCAGATGGACTGCCACCACCTGATTTTATTAAAAATAGAGGACTTGTCAGCACCAATAGCCTAAATATTCTACTTCCTCTTTACTCCTTTTCTTTTCTCCAAATATTCTCATTGTCTGTCCCATCACTATCCCCTCATTTTTTGATAATTTGTACTTTTAGTAAAAAACTGATATTTATTATATATTTACTGGGTGCCAGACCCCAAAATACAGCAATGAATCCAAGTGGGACAGGGAACTAGGATTTATTAAACACCTATTATATGGACTGGGGATATAGCTCAGTGATACACACAGTGGTACCTTGGTTCACAAACTTAATCCTTTTCAGAATTCTGGTTGCAAACCCAATTGGATAAGAACCAAATCAAACTTGATGTTGATCTTATGGGAAAATTTGGTCTGGTTCTTGTCCAATTTGGTTTATGAACAGAATCTTGGAAAGAGTGAAGTTTGTCAGCCAAGGCACCACTGTACTTCATTCTACTGATAATTCTCACAAGAATTAAAAATTCAGAATTCTGTTACTACCCAAACTGTTTTCAATGACCTATGTGGTTGCAGAATGGAAACCACACAACAGGAATGGCTGAGATTTCTGGAGCCATCTAGTCTGCAGAAAGAAGTCTGCGTGACAGTGGTTCCTATAAGTCACGGGGCTGGGTAACTTGGCTAAGGTACCCTATGCTTTCTCTGAGATTCCAATGAGAAGAGACCGCATAACCTATAGCCAAAGGGACAGAGGCCAGAGTCAGACAAGGTCATGCAACTGGTGAACCACAGAGCTGGCATCTGAATTCAGGCCTTCTGGATTGAAGCGCCATCTTTCTATGTACAATCCAACAGCAACTACGGGGAGATCTCAAGATCCCATGAACCTTCAGTATTTCTGGCCCATAAAGTCTCCTACCTCCCATCTTGCCTGCTGACTGTGTACCCAAAGAGAGGGTTATTGACGAAACTGATGTTCACACCAACCAGCGGGGTCCCATCTGATGTCATTACTTGACCACGAATGACACACGCGTGCCTGTGGGAAGAGAAGAGAGAATACCATAATGTGCCATTCATAGTCAGAGCCCTGGTGAGCAGAGAAGCCCTATAGTAGAAGACAGAAGCCTGGTCACTTAGACACATATTATACCTAGAAGCTCATGTTGCTCACTCCAGATGAACAATAGATTTTTTAAAATATCACCTCTAGCTGGGGTGGTGGTACATGCCTGCAATCCCAGCACTCTAGGAGGCTGAGGCAGGAGGATTACAAGTTTGAGTTTAGTCTTGAAAACCTAGTGAGACCTTGTCTCAAAATCTAAAAAAAAAAAAAAGTAAGTAAATAAATAGGGCTGAGGATGTACTCGGTGTGAAGGTTCAATCTCCAGTACTCAACAAACAAAAAATATCACCCCAATTTAAGGCATCAAAGTGTCCCTGAAAGAACTGTCCTTGGGAAGCATTCTCAAGTATCTCACTCAGAGGTTATTTTTCTGAGGACATCATATGCAGCTGTAAAGAAAGAAAGCTGATCCTAGAGGGCAAGACGCGGTAGTGATGTATGTAGATTTGGAGTCAGGTGCCCTGGGCTCAAGTCCAGCCCTGCTGTTTCCTAGTTCTCTGCACTTGTGCAGATACATGATGGTGTTTTGAATCTCTTGTTTTTTCTCCCTGGCACAAAGAAGGCTCCATAGGTTGCAATAGCTATTGCTGTCACTAACTGAGTCATTAGAAGTGAACATATAAGATAGAGAGAAAGAGAGAGGGTACTTCCTCTCATCTGGCATTAGAGACAGGAAGGGCAGATGCTAGCATCTCCCAAAACCCTGTGCCCCCATGCCTCTATGTGCTTTTCTCAAACTTGCCAGATGACTGCCCTGAGTCTGGCCAGCATTCTTCCACCTGCCTCAAATGTTATTCCCACACCCACCAACACTTTCACCCTGAAAGACCCACTTCAAAGGACACCTTTTCACTGAAGTTTTTCATGATGCCCCTAATCAGACTAGTCCCTCTCCCCCTCAAAGTCTGACACAAACACCTTGATCTCTTATAAAACTGTAACCTCTTCTCTCCACTAGTCCAGCCTTCTGAGGGGAGGGCCAAGGTTTCATTCTCTCCACCTTGCCTGGACTATGCCTAACAAGTACTAGGTCACAGTTAAAAACATGGTGCGGGAATTGATCAGATAAATGGGGCAGTTATAGATCATCTGGAATAATGGCTTTACACATATTTCAGAAACAGAATCCTTTTAGAGGGGACCTTTCATAAGAACCCCAGAGTGGAAAACAAACCAAAAGAAGATCTGCCCTAGATGTATCAACGGTAAAGAGTTTTTTCTTTCCTGGGCTGCTCTGAAGGCAGCTCTGTGGAGCCTTAGTCTCTGTAGAAGGCAAAAAAAAATCACTGAGCTAGTGGAACCCTCTCATTTTGTAGAGGAGAAAACTGGGAGGTTACATTATTGGCCCAAAGCCCTGTAGGAAAGTGGTGGCTAAACCAGGCTTGACTCTGAGTCTATAATTCTGGGACCAATGCTAAACCAGTCTGTTTACTATGAGTAATAGGTGGGAACAACAGTGCTGGCTGGTGTCAACATAGGATGATGAAGATACAGTCCTCTATGACAAGAAAAATCTGGGGCAAAAATGCAGGTGCTGTTGCCCATGTAACTCTCTCCACTCACCTGATTTCAGAAGGTTTTTTTCTGGTCTAGGAAAAAGCTACTGATGAGGCCCAGGGGCACTCATGAAAAAAAAAATCACAATCTCAGTCCCTGCTTTATTAGGTACCCACATCCCTACCTTCCCAGAGTGATAAACTTTTCTCTGTTTGATGAGGAAAGTAATTAACACCAGGCTTGTAAGCAGCTGGTCTCACTAGTGTCAGCTTGTCCTTTCTGAAGGCAAGAACAACTACCCACAATGCACCAAGCGTGCCACCCCCACCTGACTCCATGCCATGCAATCTGGTTAATGTTAATTCAGTCAGTGGTTTCCTTCCGAGGCCCTTGGTCTAAATGCAATTACATGGCAAACAAGTGAAGCAGGCGAGGCTCAGCAAAGACTTTTAGTCCTGCTCTGAAGGTCTCCCAATATATTTATGTGAAATTATCTCTCCGCTAATGGGAAAGATTTATTTCATCAATTGTATTCAACTGGTACTGAGAAATGCTTTCTTTAATGGAGGACAATTGAATTTCTTATTGCTGGAACTTTGTCCTTCCAGAGAATTACTAACAGATCTCATCCCTTGTTGCTGGCTACTATCCAGCCTTCTCCTGACATGTATACCTTTGGATTCTGCCTGGACAATAATCAGCCCTCTGGGGATGGTTTCCCTCTGAGGGCTACCCTAGCTGCTGCCCCTCATGCACACGCAGGCCAGCCTTCTCTGATTTATCTCTCTGGGGATTTCCTGGAAATTGGTGAACTTTAAATCAGTGCCATTTGGCTATCATGTAGCCTCTGATTCGGCAAGCCAGCAGATGTAATTTTAGCCCAAGCTCCTGTGGATTGCTTTTGGATTCTGGAGAAAATTAAGTTGACTCCCTGTACCCCTCTAGGCCATAGAGTTCTCATGCCAAAATAGGCATTTGGCTCAGAAATCAAGTCCTGGAGAAAAACACTTCTATCTGCCTTCCATTTGACCATACTTTTCAGTCGTCAAGAAAATCCAGTTTAACATAAAGTCTTTCCTGGAACAAAGGAGATGGGCTCTGTGGAGGCCTCTGAAATGTCTCATGTCACATGTTTTCTGTTTAGGAAGTTTTCCAAAGGCGTGAGTGTTAGGATTTTCAATGCTTGCTTTCTTCCTCTGCATTTTCAGTGGACACCAGCAGTGGTGTACTAATTAAGTGTCTAACATCAGGCTTAAAAAAACCCAGCTATAATTTGTAGCACTTGCTCATTGCTGTGGTATGAATACTCCCATCATGGCTGATTTCAAGTTACCAACAAATCGAACTGAACAGAACTGGGAAGAGATGCACAGCAGGATGCTAATATA